AGGCAGACAGATCGATTCAAAATTGCAGACAAAGTTACACACGCATACGCACACATACATGCACACAAACATACTGTACACACACACATACACACGCACGCACGCACGCGCGCGCACACGCATACGCGTGCGCGAGAATTCACGCGTGCGCACGTATATATCTTTTCGCGTGTAACACGGAACAATACTGGTTCCAGTAAGATTTAACACCGAGAGCGCAAGATATATGTTGCGAGCGTAACTCGAAAGTGCGTCATTGAAGAGCGCGACGAAGTGAATTTTCCACTTTTCTTGAGGATAAATAAAATACGATAACCGGGCATTTGAATGGTGCTTCCTCGACCTCTACCTTCTGACGCTTTTTCGAAGCAACGCCGAGTATTTACAATATAATTGAAATCGCCATTAAACCTCATTCGGCATAGATAGTAGCATCGAGTCTTGCGAGAGCTCGTCCATCGATTGCTCCGACCCTGAGAACAGAGTTAATGGAATCGCAATTACACGTAAATGTACGATCCTGTCCAATCTCTAATTGATTGCCGAATTTTCCCAATCTGAAGTCTTTGAACGCAGTAAGAATCTTTCATAAAGTTCCCCGACACTCAGGGATATTGCGAACGATCTCTTACCATGATTGTGATAAATGGAGCCTGTCGGGCTCTTACACGTGGCTGGGCTAAGCTGCGGTTGTTGTTGCTGTTGGTGCTGTTGCTGATGTTGAAACGAGTACGTTAGATGCAGGTTGATGTGACGACCGAAATCGTTGGGCGACGCGGTGGAATTCGGTGGCGATTGGTGCACTGCAAAAATTCATTCCACCGATGTTGATAATTCAAGTTATTGTGTATCTTTGTGGAAATAGAGGTCGTGCTGCTTGCACTCGTGACATTCGGAATTTTTACTTTCTCTTTCTCTAAAATCGAACTATACTGTCTCGTTTTAAGCGCAACAATTTTTGGGAATTTCAAGCAATATAAGCAAATTAACGGAAAGACCTGATGTTAAGTGTAATGAATTTGACCTGATGTTTCGCTTACCGTGTTGTCCCTTCATTTTGCCGGTGTGGAGGTGTTTCTTCTGCCTTGCTCTAGAATTTTGGAACCACACCTGCGTTACCCTCTTGCTGAGTCCAGTTACATGCGCTATCCTTTCAAGGTCCTGCCCATCAGGATTACTATCCAATTGAAAATTCGCCTGGAGAACGGAGAGCTGCTCCTCGGTAAAAGTGGTCCTAACTCTCTTCGCTTTATTGCCGCCCTTGTGACCACTCTCGGAGTCACCGCCTTCTGCGAAAGTACCAATTAGCCGTACCTACCTTCCACACTATTACGCGATCTATCTCAATCGGTGCGCATTTTATACAGCAAAATAGAGGATCACGAACAATATATTTTTAACCATGGAATTTTTAATCATAGAATGCTATCGTAAGTTTGATATGTAAGTGAGCGTTAAATTATGCCTTCGATAGTCAACAAGATTGAGAATTTGATAATATGCTTATTTTTATCTTTCCTTTTAACTTTTTGATGATCGGAGTTTTCTAAAATAACTTACGGAAGATCTTATTCTCTAAAGATTTTCGGAATCGTTGGATTCAATTCTGGTCTCAGAATTGCAAAATTAAAATTAAAAGAAAACGAGGAAATAATTTTAAAGTAAAAGAGAGTGATCCCAAATAGGGTTCGCCGATCCACAATAAAATTATTTAGTTTGCAATGATTTAGATTATAAATATTTCGTGATTGAAAGTGTGAAATGTATCAAAATCATGGATTACAATACTGTATCATTCGATATCGATAGCATTCTAGGGTTAATCAAATTAATTTAATCGTTACAACAAATACTTGAAGAAGATTGCTTGATGATGTTAAAGAAATAAATTTAACAAAGGGCGTTACTTTTACTCGCAATTCGAAGATTTTATGTTATTCACGTATGTATACTTTTGAAATCGTGTGTTTTCGCAATATTTATTTTACGCTAAAATAGACTACGTCTTTACGTGTGCAACAATGACTCGTTCGTGCGACATTCTCACCATCGGAAGAGGTGTTGTTGCCCTCGACGACGTCGAGATAGTGCGCCTTGCAGAGCAATCGGGCGTCCAGGAGGGCGAATTGCTCACCGGTCGACAGCTGACGCGAGCAAGCGTCGCATGCGAAGCAGGCCAGATGATAAACCCTTTCCCTGGCCCTTCTCACCCAATCCCCAGCGCCCACGCTGCGCCCGCATTTCGCGCACTTCGCTCCAAAAGTTCTGCAAAACACGAGAAGCGTAACTCGTACTCGTGCTTAACTGCGTAAACTGCCGCCAGGCGTATATCATTTATAAGTGTTAGTATACGTATCGCGTGGTGTGTCTCGGATTTATTTTCCGATATACATTATAACGACAGCCAATATAGCCAGACTCGCTCGACACTCGATTGAACGAGTACACGAGGGGTGTAATGATAACCGCTCGAATATATCTCGGTGGACGGCGACGAAGGAGAGGAAGAAGCGAAGGCCGACGGGCGGTAGCTCGAGAGAAGAGGAAGAAAAGAGACTTTAGAGAAGAGGTATTCGTGTCGAGGAGCAAGTGGTCTCCGTCGGCGCGTGTTTCGCGGCCGTTTATTTCTTCGACCGCTCGCTCTTCGTTCCTCCCTCTCAGCTTGGGGAGCTTTGGATCTGCGAGAGAAGTATCGCGCGGCGCAAAGTATCGTTCCCTTCGAGATTCCCTTCGCGC